GTTTTTGGGCCAAAAAAAATTTGGCGAGACCTGCTTTCAATCTTACATGTTGTTTTTCTCTTCCCAAGCTTGTAGTAACTTTCTTTAGATTGCGCCTCTAGGTACGGATTAGCAATGAGATCTACCCGATCTTCAAATAATGTTGATCACGAACCTCGCCGAAACGATTACCACAACTCAAACTACCATCACTCGTCAGGTCGGAATCATGCAGAGAGCAACGGCTACGGATCGGCGGGAGGAGGCAACAACAGCATCAGCAACAACAACGGCAACAGTCACAACAACAACAGCGAACATCGGTCAAAGCGACCATCTTCCACTGTCACCAATCCAGCATCTTCTTCATCCTCCTCCTTGATCAAGCGCATGAAAAGCTCGGCAACAAACAGCAGCAGCACGCCAGCGGTTCACAGTGTGGGAAATGGCAGTTTAATAAACAGCAGCGCCAAACCAGAACCGATCACCAATAACCGAGAAACGTATGTGTGAAAACACCGAGCTACAGTATTCACCAATTCAAGAGCACAATAACTTTCACTTGTTTATTTACTTTCTCAATAGTCATCAAAACAACAACAGCATAGCAAAAACCTCTCCCCCATCACTACTTCATAAATCAACAAATGTCTCCAATCTACTCTCAAACATTGACTCAACTGAATGCCACTTGGCTTCTTTTAACGGCGTCACCATCGAGGAGAACCAGGCCCTTGAAGGCGATAGCCTGGTGAACAATGCCCTTCACTCGTTTAATGCATTTAGTGAAACGGCTCAATTGCTGAGAAACGTAGTTTCTGAAGTGTTGGAACTCAAGAAGAATGGACAAAAAAAGAATGCCGCTCAGGAGGGTGACAAGAAAAGTAAAATAAACAACAGCTTGAAAACTAAAGGTAACTATTGAATGAATCTTTTCTTTCTCCTCTTTTAAGTTTTATTTTTTCTTAATCATAGGTCTAATGCATTTGATGGAAATGAAACGGCTGAATCGCGTCGACAAGTATCGCCTGAAGGAGGCAAGGCAACGCTTCATTGCATCAAAAGAAAAAGTCGACAAAATTCACCTTCAATTGCAGAACCTGCAGTACGAAGTTTTGCACTTGCAAAAGGAGCAAAAGACGTGTGAATCATTCCGATCCAAGGACGAATCTTTGGAGCTGGTTGATTGCGAAAAGTTTTACCTCTCCGACTCGGTTCCTGAGAACTTGCGGCATTTGATTGTACTGTCAGAGGACAAAAAGAGTGCCACTTTGAGTGACTCTGCTAGCAGCGAGGAGCGCCACAAGCTTCATCTCGCAAGACTAAACTGGGAACTTGAACAGCGCATTCAGCACGAGGATGGACTGAAACAGGCGGAAGAATCTCGCTTCCGCTTGGAGGTGGAGATTTCGGCAAGACGGCGAACTCTCTCCCAGTTTGAGCCAACACTGCGAAACGTGATAGAAGCCTCCAAGCCAATGGTGTCGCAACTGAATGTCCCTCTCCAAGTTTACAATACTTCAAACTACCTTACTCCACACCTTCCTCAACCACTTTACGTGTTATATGTTCAGGTACGTTTTTCCGCTCTATACTTTGTAAATGTTAACTTTCTTTTGTCGTCTGCAGTTGTGCGCTTATAAGGGAGCTTATGGCGTTAACTACGACGTCAGTATATGCGGAACTGCCGAGGAAGCGATAGAGTTTGAGAAGGAGCTGAAAAAAGAGTCGATTGGTTCGTTTTTCAGTCACAACCACGACGACGACGATGAGACTAGCAACAAGCTGCAGGATGACGACGATGAAGATACTGGACATCGAAGCAAAAGCTCCAAAACTCGGTATCACCATCAGTCTTCAACAACAACAACAACTAGTGAGCAACACAGCAAAACAGTTGAAGACACGACTTCAGACGGTAAAATGGACATCTCTGGTGACTTGGGTGAAAGTGCCGAAAAGACTGACAACTTTCAGGAAAAGAACGCCAAGCTCCTGCAGGCACATCCAATCAAGGTGAAACTCATGTTCCGCTACCGGCACTACCACATGGTCATCACTTTTACCTTCTTCACGAAGCTTGGTATGTTGTAGTACTCTGGCGAGCCAATGTTATTATCATCGCTCACTTACTTTGTTTCTCCGAAATGCAGAAATTGTTGGTGTGAACTATTCCATCGAAAATCTTTCCAACTCCAACACTATTGATCCAGAGTTCTCCGTCACGAATTATTCTAGCAACATCTTCTCCATGTTACTTAACCCTTCGGACACTGGTCTCAAAAGCCCCAATTCAACCGTGGAACACATTCTGAATCGATATGATATTGACTCGTTCGACAAGCTGTGGCCGTACATTGGTTATGCCTACGACTGGGCGCAACGAATTTCCGGCATTGAGTACTTGCATCCAGATAAACGACCACTTCTTTCGTCGGGCGGAATAATTCGCGTCAGCTCCTCAATTGCAACTGCCTCCATAGACAAAACAATCAAAGCAATCAACTTTCGCTTTCAAGCGCGGATCAACCTTCAAGAGCAGATACTGGATATTTACTCGAAGCAGTACATTGACACTAACAAGTTTGAAAGCCTGCTAGACTCTGACGAGATGTACGATGACCTGAACAAGGCCCACTTGAAGCCAAAGTGCGCCCTTTCTGCATTTACGAGAATTGACTCAGAGAGGTTTCTCAGCGAAATGGAACACTTTCCGAAAAAGAAACGCCAGCTCGTGGAGTACTTTGACAATGAGAGTGACAGTGAATCAGCTCTGTGTGACATTTTTGACCAAACAAACTTTCTCTTCAAGCTGACAATGGGCTCCGATGAGGATGCAGCAAACAAAGGCTTGAACGCAACTGTGATTGTTCCCCATAATTACCCTCAAAAGTGGCCGTTTTTTATTTTAACCCGCAAGCAAAGTGACTCTAACGTTCAGTCAGACTCGTCATCATCAACCTACCTCGAGCCGACTTGGCTTCGATCACTGGAGGAGCACATCAACGTACGACTGCCGCTAAAGGTGTTCCAGCAGGCGAAAAGTCTTGAAGAGACACTCTTTCCGACCACGCTTTTGCTGCGGCAGATCTACGATCTACAGTGCGGTTTGGACATTTTGGCTGACGCCGGCACTCAACTCATTCGCAAGTCCAATCAAAGCATGGAGGTGTACACTGGCCCAAAGTGTGTCAACTCGTTTCTCTCCCTGTCGATTGTTCAGGGACGCGATCACTCACTTAAATTTCTGTAGAATAAAGTAGCCCATTCTACACAGACTGAATTTTGCCCTCTTGACGATTTCATCTTCAAGTAATAATCATTTTTCAAGTAAATTTCCCCTTTTTTATTTCCGTTATTTACTTTTTTTTCTAAAATGTACACACACGGCACTTGTCTTGTAAATATAATCACTTGAAATTATTGACAATTGAACAAACACTTGTAGAATATTATTAAAAGCGATTTATTTTGCACTTTTTTTTGAGTGAGTCAATTCTTATAAAAGGAAAAAAAGTTGTACAAGTAAAAAGAGTATAAATTAAATAAAAAATTAGCATTACAAAAAAGAATTTACGCAGAGGTGTATTTGTGAGTGTGTGTGTGCTTTTTGGCTTGATGAACATCAAAATGGGAACAGTTTCTTTACCAGAGTCATATTCGCCGACTCGCTACCCTTTTCCGGCCTGCTCTCTAGTGAGTGGTGCCACAGCCTGGGCGGCACCAGCTTCAGTGTTGCAATGGTGCTGAAGTACTTCTCCGAGTTCATGTCCTCAGGGAGGTGGGCAAGCAGCTGGGCCGCTTCGGCGCACTCCAACTCCAGCAGCACCGGCTCGTACATTGCGAGGAGGGCGAGTGAGGCCCGAAAGATGAACTCATCGCCGTCTCGCAGGTACAGGTCCCAGGCGCGACAGGCGACCTCGAGGGGCAGACAGCGCGAGAAGAGCGTGTATATTTGGTCGACGAAGAAGAGGTCAGTGGTGAGGCCGATGGCCTGCAGGTGAGTGGCCAGGCGCGGTAGGAGTGCCTGCAGCTGGCGGTCGTAGAAGGCGTACACCGCGGCGATGCGCTCCGGCACCAGTCGGTAGAAGGCCAGCAGCAGTTCACTGTTGAGCAGGTTGGCGAAGGCGGTGAAAGCGTCAGAAGGCGAGTCGAGGTTCAGCAGGAGCATGGCCGCCAGGAATGACATGCCCTGGCAGTAGCTGGTGTCGGGCCGAAAGACAGCGTAGGCCGCCAGAATGTCACTGAGAGACTGGTGCAGGGGACCGCTCTCCTGGAACAGTCCCAGCTGGGGAAAGGTTCGAGAGACGTCCAGCTTGATCAGGTAGGCGAGTGACTCGTTCTTGTCCTCTTCGTCCTCCTCTTCCTCCTCCTCCTCCTCCTCCTCCACGGAGGTACTCGATTTGGCACAGTTGGCTGATTTGTCATTGCTCAGCTGGCAATCACTCTGCAGCTGCTTGCCCAGTGCATCAACATCCCGACTAGTGGACTTCGATCGCACTTGGTGGACGGTATGAATGGGCTGAGAGGACACCCGACGGTGGTGCTTCAGGGCACTATCACTAGGCACGGCCGAGGAGGGATAGGGATTGGATGAGCGACGGCAGAGAAACTGTTTTGTCCAGATGCGCTCCTTCGACCGTTCAACGCAGATGCGAAAGAGCTCATCGGTAATCTTCAGCTCATTGCCGATGGCCATACTCCACACTCTGGGCCTCACCGGAGAGGGAATGCCACTCCACCAGAGGTCACGAGTTCGCTTGAGCGCCCGGGAGGAGGGCCAGCCGGGGAGAATGTCGTTGGTCCAGCAACGAATGGCGCCGCTTATCTCCTCCTCTTGTCGGATCTGCTTCGAGAGAATGCGCCTCTTCAGTTTGCTCTCCTTCAGCTCTCGCTTCTTCGCCTGCTTCAGTATCTCATTGAACTCTGCCTGGTGTCGTCGCTGTTCATCGTCGCTCTTTGGTGGCAAGTAAGGCGGCCTCTTTCCTAGACAAAGTGCCCTGTCATCAATGATTGTCTCGATAATACTGTCCTCTTGATTGGTCGCATTGTTTTCAGCACTGTTAGAGTCACTGCTGCTGATGCCACTGCTGGTCACATTGTCCGTTATCTTATTGAGCACATTTTGAATGAATTGCAGTTTCGATTTGACCGTTCTGCTTGTTGAGCAGGTAGAGTCAATAGACAGGTCTAAATCGTCCACGTTTTCATTAGGACCCGACGTTTCCGACTTTTGTGAGCCATTTTCAGTGCTGGACTCCGATGAAAGACCGCCATATCCTGAGTCACAGTCGTTAAAGACTGTTTTGAGTGGCAGTTTATTCGAACCCGAATCACATAGGTCGGCATTCTTCTTGTGATGCAAATGCTGCCTACTGTTTTGAGTTATTGGCAGCTGCGACCTAATGCACAGTTGCTTTGTAGTCGGGTCGTACACTAAGTCCTGACTGACTGTCTCCAAAGCATCATCCAGTGAAAAGTAAGCAGAGTGCGGGGAGCTCGTTTGGACGTCCATCGGTGAGTGGAGCGGAGGTATGGGCGACTGACGGCGGCGGAAAGCACAAAGCACGAGCTGAGCTCTGCTTAAATGTCGGCGGTATCATAACTTGCGGTGTTCCATTGTGCACTCTATTGCGCTTTATCACCCATTGTGGCCTGCTTTATCGCACGTTCACCACACAACAGGCGAGTTATAGTTGAACAATCTGCAAAAAGAACAGAGGAAGAAAAACATTGTGATTAGTTGGCAGAAGACGACGGCTGCTCACCACTCCTCAATTACCGTTTTTAGTGGTGCACTGAAGAATTCCCAGAAGTTATTCCATGCTCTAAACAGCACACTAGAAAAAGAAGAGATGCACTGAAGCTGAGACGCAAGTGTTTGGATTGCCGTCTACTGGTACTGCCGCGTGATGCGCTTGTAAGCATTCATCGCACAGCCTGGGCAATATCCAGTTAACTTTGGCAGCAGTAGCAGAGCCGTGGTCGATGAGATTGAATGCTCCTCAGCGTCAGCGAGGATGTGTAAATGTTGTAAATATCGCAGCGTTGATTGCTACCGATGCTAAATGCGCATCCACACGGTGGCCAGTCAGTCGTCCATACGTGTGCACCTCTACATCTTCTGACAGGGCTTCATTGCCCAGCTATCGGTGCGACTTTGCAAACTCAGTTTTTTGGAGAAAGAAAGAAGAAGGCGGCAGAAAGAAATGCACCGAGGATGTGAAGCTGAAGCACTCGACGGCGCTCGGACAGTTCACTAACTGTTCATTCAGCTGCTCTCTCCCTCTCGGCTTTGGGGCACTCGCACAGACACAGACACACACTCTTCAGTGCCCTAATGACGGCCACCACGAAAAGTGGAAAAACAACTCTCGCTACGGCAGACTGACTGCCACCGCAGAAAAGTTGTGTGCACTGGACGCAGCCGAGTGGAAGCACTAAAGAGCAGGCCTAGCACCGCCACAGCATCTCTCCAGCTAAGATGCCCTGAACTATGACCTTTGTGCTGCTGAGCGCATGTGAGAGTCCAACTATCTGGCCCTGAAGCTGTGCCATCTATCCGGCAAAGGCTGCACGTTGGACAACCAGTCGATCCAAGACCATTCAAGCTGACAACTTTATTCAAGCAAGGATAACTGCCAATGCTTGCTCACTTCTCTCACCTGTCAATGTCCACTACCGCGTGCGCCAGGTGACATTAATCGGACAGAAGCAGTGTCCATGTTATCGGCAAAGAAAAGAGGTCGAATGGGCGCACCAATTGTGCGACAGAGTGGCGCCCACTTCCGCCGTGAGCACTAGAGTGCGTGTCGCTGAGACAGCGATTGGAAATGATACGCTTCAAAACGTGTTGACAATCACAGCTCACTGTTGAAAACACACAATGGACAAGTGATCAGAGAGCTCATCATCACAATGACTGATCAACAATTGCCACCATTTTTCCAATCGATTTGGGCAGTATTGAATATCAAAGATAGAAAAAAGACATCGTGTCCACTTGAGACAGAAATAGGCCAAGTAACAAAACATAAAAGTTGCACTTTTAAAAAACCTGCAACTTGCACCTGGCACCAATTTTGCACGCTCTAATGCAGAGGTGTCAAGTAAAAAGTTGCTAAACAAAAAAAGGCAGTGTTGAGACATAGTTTTACTTAGTGGCAATGTAGAAAGAGTTCATTTAGAGCGTTTGTACAAAAAGATCTACCAGCATTGCAGCAATTTAGCACTAGATAGAGAAATAAATATAAAATGCAAGTGTTTTCTCCGGTAAGCTGCAGTACACTGAAAAGTCATTGACATTGACGCCGAACTTAAATGTAGTCTTCTTTGCGACCGAACTTGAAGACAATTGATCTAAAGGCCAGTAATAAGCTTGATCAGAAAATCGCCGTTAATAAAAGTTATAAAAACAAACCCAAGAAAAATGAAGAGGTTTTGGGCAAAGACGCCAAGACCGGGAAGAACATTGTGACCGGGAACAACGTAGGCGCCAAACAGAATCCAGACGGAGGCAATCAATGCACCGAAACCCAAGACAAAGCCNAAAATATAAAATGCAAGTGTTTTCTCCGGTAAACTGCAGTACACTACTGAAAAGTCATTGACATTGACGCCGAGCTTAAATGTAGTCTTCTTTGCGACCGAACTTGAAGACAATTGATCTAAAGGCCAGTAATAAGCTTGATCAGAAAATCGCCGTTAATAAAAGTTATAAAAACAAACCCAAGAAAAATGAAGAGGTTTTGGGCAAAGACGCCAAGACCGGGAAGAACATTGTGACCGGGAACAACGTAGGCGCCAAACAGAATCCAGACGGAGGCAATCAATGCACCGAAACCCAAGACAAAGCCAATGAAAAGCCATATGTGAACAGCATAGCTTCCCACTCCATACTGGTACATTTCAATGCGACTCGTTGATACCGAATTAATCCTATTCATTGAAAATACAAGTTAGATGATCATGTAAAGTAGCTAAAACAAGCTTACATGAAAAATGAAACGGTGCCCAAAACGCCGCAAACATGGTAAGCGCTGTTAAAGTCGGCTGAAGTGTAGCGCGCCGCAATGTCAATGATGATCCACCATCCCAAAAAGAACTGTAAGAATACAAAGATTTATAATTTGATATTGTAAAGTTAAGGTAAAGTCTCAAGTCCAAGTTACCAGAATTCCTGATACAACGCTCGTTATGTTGTTGCGCTTTTCAATGTCTTCCAGAGTCTCTTGAACTCGAGTAATGATCCCTTCGAAGCACCCAGACATGTTTGCAGACCAATTGACTGTTACAGATGTATACTGATGATAATCAAGCAAGAACAATAGATGCTCACAATAATGGACTAACAAAAGTTTTGACAGGAGAATGAAAGGCGAAAATGAAGGAGCAACCAAAACAATAACACAAAAATCTTTTTTTTGATAAAAATTGCCTTTTCCACAGAGGACGTGTAACCCAAAAATGAATCGGCAAATTGATAAATTTTTACTTTTAGGTTGTATATTTTAGCATAAACATTGGAACATTAAAACTTCCGATGATTTAGCGTCTAAATTTCGAGACAGTCTCAGAGAATTTAGAGTTTATTTGTACATCATAAATCAGCCGCATCAGTTTGACAGTCGAGCTTTGCAAAGGGGCATCATGTAGTATGCGAATGACTCTGGGGAGCAACCCAAAAACTTGTTTATGTTTCCCAGTCGGCGGCTGGCAAGACTAATCTATCTCCTAACTTCAGACTCAATCATCGATTCACCTAATAATTTCACATAAGGCTGCTATTTAAAATGACGCCCACCTCAGACGACCAACCAGAAACAATTGTGCGACGAAACCCCAAAGGATGCACAAGCGAAAGCTTTTACAACTGGGCAGATGAGCCCTTTGAAGAGATGGACTCCACCATAGCTGTTCAGCAGTTCATTCAGCAAAAGATTCGCAAAGATCCGTCGAATGTAGACGATATTCTCACTCCGCCCAAGGGTCAGGAACTGGGCATTTGGAAGTACGAACATATGCGGCAGTTTTGCCTTGAGTTGAACCGACTGACCGTAAAGCTTCAGACGGAATGCAATCCTGAGACATGCAGCCAAATGACCGCAACTGAGCAATGGATCTTCCTTTGCGCTGCCCATAAGGCACCCAAAGAATGCCCAGCAATCGACTACACTCGACACACTTTGGATGGGGCTGCTGCTTTGCTGAATTCAAACAAGTATTTTCCCTCTCGCGTCACCATAAAGGAGTCTTCCGTCGCGAAACTGGGCAGCATATGTCGTCGGGTTTACCGAATCTTTTCGCATGCCTACTACCACCACAAAGCAATTTACGATGAGTTCGAAAGTCTATACTTTCTCTGCAAGCGGTTCTCCATGTTTTCCATCAAGTATGAGCTAATGTCGGTAGAGAACTTGATTGTTCCCATTCCCGGTCTCGACTTTAACAGTATTGAAGTTCAAACTAAAAGTGCAGCCTCTACCACTGACACGCCGAACCTCATCAACACCACTGTCATTGTCTCCTCATCTGGGCCCGACTCTTCCGAAGCATAAAACAAATTGCCGTGTTTTGCCACTTTTTGACCATTAGATTTCTTTTTTTTCTGATCAGGCTCGCTACTATTCACTCACTATTGAATGTTTTTGTATTTATTTGCTCATTGCGGTCATTTTATATAGCGCTACAAAATAAAGTATGTGTAAATGAAGTTGCAAGTTTGTACAAAAGGGTGGAAATTTTTACATAATGGGAATTATATTAGTGCATGTGAGATTGAGTAAAAACAAATAAAATGTTAAACTGCTTTGTTTCCCTAAGCCCATCAGTACGGTCCCTGGTGATAGGGCCCTTGTCCAAGTTGGTTTTGCGGGGGGCCTTGATTCGCCGACAGTTGTCGCTGCAGTTGAGTCATCTGCGGTCTGGGCGCGTTCATTTGCGCCTGCTGTTGCTGCCACGGTTGTCCGCTGTTCATCATTTGCTGGCCGGACCCAATCTGCTGCGGCTGTTGCTGCTGCTGTTGGCCAAACGCATGTGTCATCTGCCCTGGTTGACCCATGGGTACGCTGTTGTACTGTGTCCTGTAAGCAATGCATAAGTTAGAACGTATAAAAAGAGTTATTAAGTTTTTAAATAGGACTTACCTCTGCTGCATAAATTGCGCCTGGTTCTGGTTTGGCTGCTGCGAACCCATTTGCATCTGAGGGCGAATCAGCATGCTCTGCTGTGGAGGTGGCTGTCCCTGGAAGCCGGAACCACTGCCGCCCATTTGCATTCCCCCATTGTCCATGCTTGACATGGCATTCGGGTTGAATGAGTTCATGCCCTGTTGCGAGTTTGCAAAGTTTGGCTGTTGAGACTGCTGCTGCTGTTGCATGTGATGCATCATTGAGCCAGTGTTGCCTTGCTGGTTCAGTTGCTGCTGCTGGAACATGTTTGGATTGTTCATGGGCGCAATTGGTCCTCCGCCTGCCTGTGCCATTTGCCCCTGAGGCCTCATTTGAGGCCGCTGTTGCTGCTGCATTTGCATCTGCATCTGCGATCGAGGCTGGTACATCGCCCCCGGAATCATGTTGCTGTTGTTGGCCATCATCGTCGGCGGCGCATTCATCGCATTAGCTGGCACAGCCTGGTTCGGTGGTGCATTAAACTGATTCGTCGCCGGTTGTCGAGTGTTCAGCATCGCCCTAAGACGGACCTTGGAGGCATTGGGCACTGCGTGAGGTGCCTCGCCAAAGCGAGCCTGCTGCGCCTGAGAGGGCATCATAGCCGGCGTCGACTGCACCGGCCCCTGAGGCACACCAGCCTGCTGGAAGAAGGTCTGGNTGTCGCCGGTTGTCGAGTGTTCAGCATCGCCCTAAGACGTACCTTGGAGGCATTGGGCACTGCGTGAGGTGCCTCGCCAAAGCGAGCCTGCTGCGCCTGAGAGGGCATCATTGCCGGCGTCGACTGCACTGGCCCCTGAGGCACACCAGCCTGCTGGAAGAAGGTCTGGCTGCCTGGGGCATTGGGGCCAACATTCGGACCACCAGCCATGTTCGCCTGTGGCGGGCCAGGCTGATTGCCCACCTGTCCCTGGTATGGCCAGCTATTCGACTGGCCCACCACAGGCTGAGGGCCGCCGCCGCCACCACCGCCACCTCCCATTTGATTGCCCACATTTGGTGGCACTTGGTTGAAGGCGTCAAATGAGTTCATTCGAATGGGCGGCGTCTGCTGGCCTTGCACTGGAGTGGTGTTTCCATTCTGCTGATTTTTGGCATTGGTCCGCCGTCGTCTGGGGGCCTTCGGCTTTGCAGTTGCCTTGGGCGTCGTCGCCCTCACCACGGGCATGTTGACATTGACTGGGTTCATTGCCGGCGGCTGCACTGCGCCCATATTGGGCCTCAGAGGGCCGCCCATCGGTGCAGACTGCATCTGGGCGCCTGGCATCGGCGGGCCAGCGTTACTGGGCGGCATGCCAGTGTCTATCATTATGTCGCGGCTTTCCATAGCCATACTTGGCATGTTCGGCATCATCGGGTTGGTGTTCAAGTGTGAGCCCATCATCATGTGGTGGTTGTTCGGCTGACCCATGGCAAGCTCATTGCCGCCCATCAAATGAGACGGCGGCCCACTGGGCATCACATTGTTTGCGTGCATCACATTCGGCGGAGGGCCCTGATTGAGCGCATGAGACAGGGAACTGGTGGGCGGCATGCCCTGCATGTGGTGCATATGCGGCGCCGAGAAGTTGTTGGGCATGGTGTGCGGACTGGGCTGTGCCTGCAACGAGTGCAACAGCGTGCTCGAAGGGAATTGACTACTGTTCGGAGGCAGGTTGCTCAGATGGGGCGCGCTTTGCATGCCAATACTTGGGCCGTTGTTTGCGCTGATGGGATTGCTGCTAGGAAAGGTCATCGTTTGCATTGGCGCAGTTTGCTGTGGAGTGAGCAGCGGAGGTGGTGGAGGAGCAGGCTCGTCCTCTGGTGGCAGTGGCGGGGCCTCCAGGTAAAAGGAAGTCGGCTTGCGAATGCTGTGGTTGTGTCGAGCCATCAACACAAAGTTCTCCTCCGTTCGCATTGGCTTGCGCTCAATTTTAAAGGCCCCAAACCAGACCCATCCAAGCGGAGCCGGGTTCTTGTGGCCTTCGAGAATCTCCCAAGGGGAAAGCCTTTGCTTCTCCGCCACCTGAAGGCCTTGCTTCTTGTCGATGGAATCAAAACCGGCAATCTTGTTGCCCTTTGTGTCCACCAACGAGCCCATTGGCTCACACCCAATCACTTCCGTTTGCAGCTTGGGAATAGGCAGCAGCTTCTTCGCCATTTGAGATCCATTTCCCATTCGCTCATTGTTGAGCTCTTTTTTGAGCTTCTTTATCATATTCTGCTGCTGCTTTTTGTTCTCCTCCCTCTGCTCGGGCGCCACCGCGTGAGTAGTGTGCATCAGTGAAGTGAGCATGTCGAGGACGGTGTAAAAGTTCACTTTGCTGATATGAGGGTCGACTATGGCGTAGATGATGAGCTGAAGCAGGAGAATGCACCACTCACTAGTGAGGGAGCTGGAGCACTGAATCACCTCAAACATGGCGCCCACAAGGCTCAGGCGCACCTTGAGGCCCTCCTGCACCGAATGTTTCACTCGAATATCGTCGCTCAGCTTTTCATTGATGCACAGGTAAATTTGAGCGTGCATCGAAGCGACGACGTGATTAATGGCATCTCGGTAGTCTTCCTTCAGTCCGAGACACAACAGGATGAGGGAAATGAAGGGCTGATAGGACAGCAGGGTCGATGTAGGGTTTTGGCTGTTTGTGGAAATGCCGTTCTGTGAAGAGTTTTTCGCTCCCTGAAACTTGTTCTTTGAGCTCATCGAGCTTGACTGGGATGCTGAGTAGGAAATCCACTGACTTGAATCAAAAACGCCAGCTGTCATTTTGAGAATTTTGCTCTGCAGCTGAGAGGGCAGCTTCGCGATCAGCGACCCAACCAGCCAAATACGCTCACTGTTTGGCTGATTGGCACTGCTTCCAAAGTTGAGGCCATTCGCCACCACTGATNACCCAAGACACAATAGGATGAGTGAAATGAAGGGCTGATAGGACAGCAGGGTCGATGTAGGGTTTTGGCTGTTTGTGGAAATGCCGTTCTGTGAAGAGTTTTTCGCTCCCTGAAACTTGTTCTTTGAGCTCATCGAGCTTGACTGGGATGCTGAGTAGGAAATCCACTGACTTGAATCAAAAACGCCAGCTGTCATTTTGAGAATTTTGCTCTGCAGCTGAGAGGGCAGCTTCGCGATCAGCGACCCAACCAGCCAAATACGCTCACTGTTTGGCTGATTGGCACTGCTTCCAAAGTTGAGGCCATTCGCCACCACTGATTTGGCTGTTGGGCTTTTGGAGGTGAACAGCGTCAGCTTTTTACTGTCGAGAATGGGCTCCACCTGGCTCGCACTTTGAAAGTACTCCACCACAGCTCGTGCCAATGTGTCCAGCCAAGTGCCCACTTCAGAGCTGGTATGAGACTGTGAGCTGCTGGTCAGTTGCTCGTAGATAAACTGCAGCTGAAGGCGCGAGTGGCGAATCGACCACTCGTCCAAGTTCTGAAACACTCTGCTGATGATCTGCTTCGAGTCGCACTTCTCAGTGACGTAGCCACCTGGATTCGTCTGCTTGTGATTGCATATCATGTTGAGCAGATTTTGAGAGTCCTTGTGCGACAGTCGCTTGTCAGAGATGAGTTTGAACAGTTCGCTACTAGTGAGACTACGCAGACACCGATCGTGGATCCAGTCCTGCAGACAAATCTGACGAATAACATGTTTGGCAAAGTCAGGCAGCGAAGGCTTGTCCAGAGAGTCGATTTTCGACTTTGATATTGGTCTGAAATCGCCAGGTATAATCATTAACTTTTAAATGTGCGGGGAAAACCAATAAAGGGCTTACCCAAGTAAATTCATTTCATTCAACTCGTCTTCATTGGACATTGGCTTGAGAATTTCATTAAAACTGAGCTCCTTCTCAGGCTTCTTTTCGCCAATGCCAAGCAACTTTTTGTCCACTTGAGTTTGCGTACCTTTGAAAAAAGCAACAGTAAGTTTATGAAAAAGTACAAACGAGTAGAAAATGCATACTTATGAAAAAGATGGCCTTCAGCGAGGCGATCACCGCCTCCATTCGAAGTGAGCTGAGTGCGCCGGCAAGCAGATACCGATCACAGGCATACTTGATGACAAACTGAGGCTTCTTGCCGCCGTTGCTTGGCGGAGCAGTCGTCGGAATGCCGAGCGGTCCCGGACTGGTCAGTGAGTATCGAGAGGACGAAGCAAATGAGGAGTTCATGGCAGAGTTGGAGACCGCCAGTGGCTTGTTGTAATACTTGAAGAGACAGAGAATTAGGTGACAGGAGAGCAGGGCACAGCGTTCGGCCTCCTCCGAGGAGTCAGTGGCAATGACGAGCAGTGACGGTATGAGCACCTGGGGCAGGAGCACCTCAAGCGAAAAGCATCGACGAGCGACGAGAATGAGAAAGAAGACCGCCAGGTTGTCGTAAATGGAGCGGTCGCCAATGTTGATGCG